TGTGTGTGTGTGTGTGTGTGTGTCTCTGTGTGTGTATGTGTGTGTGAGTGTGTGTCTGTCTGTGTGCGCATGTGCGCGTGTGTGTGTGTGTGTGTGTGTATGAGTGTTTTATCTGCTGTGATGACAAACTGTGTGAGTCAACTTTAGGAAGCAGCAGCTGACGAATCTCTTAACCAAAAAAGGACATACTACTACTGACTCTTTTTCTCTCTCTCTCTCTCTCTCTCTCTTTCTCTCGCTCTCTCTCTCTCTCTCTCTCTGTTCAGTTCACTCTCAGCTCACTACTTTAGTAAATTCAGTTCAGTTCTGTTCAGTTTACTTATTATTAATGATTAATTATTATTAATGAAAAATGCTTTTGCAAACTACTATGTTCACACATAGTTTAATGCTCATTTTTATTTATTCATTTTTAGCTGATAGCAAAGTTTTCTAGACACACATAAAACAGAATCCTAGATTTAAAAAGTGAGGTGGTTGAAAAGGGACATTTTATTTTTTACTTTATTTTATTTTATTTTTTACTTCATTTTACTTTATTTATTTTTTTATTTAGTTTTCAATAGAACATATTTATATTCAATATTTAATTAAATTTTATTTTAATTATGTAATGTATTATTATTATTTATTATAATGTATTTATTAATAAATTGAATAAAATATAATACACATTAAAAAAAAATATAAATATTATATATATATATATATATATATATATATATACACATTTTAAAAGAACAGTAGTACTATTCAAGCGAAATATTCCACAAAAGCAAATTTGTTAGGTTCCAAATTATAAATCAATCGAAATACTGTTCAAAAATAGTATTTGTAGTATTTGGACAATTTGTGGTTTTCAAACATTGGTGGAACATGATCATCATTAATGTGATGAACTATATGATGGACTATACATCCACTAAAAATCAACTTGACACTTGTTTTTGTTAAAAGTCATTTCTAATATGGCTACAAAATGTTATTAATGACAAAAGATCATACATTTGTTTGGATATTTCACTTGGTTTGAAATTTTGTATCAAATTCATTGACATTCATAAATTTGTAAGTGTGACTGCAGTGCCCAAATACTTCAGAAGAAAACAAATTCAATGTGTCTGTTTTGTGTGCTTACCCATTGAGCACCGATCTGTTGCTCTACTGTCCCGAGTAAAGACTCCAAAACATTCCTTTCACCTGTTGAGATCAAAAGCATCAGTAATTGATATTAACCAGTTAACATAACAGGGAACAGACTATAGACCCTTTACCACTGACGGAGTGCTGGAGCCCGTTCTGGAACTATTTCATGCGTTTTATTGCCAGAAAAGCAATTATGGGCAAGAAAATTGGCTTCAAACTGATCTCTACAACCTGAAACCGATAAATTTGCCAGATTAAGTTTCAAATCTTAATCTGGCAAGGCTGATGCAAAACAAAATTATACTAGAATTAGTACTATACTAGGGATGTAACGATTACCGGTTTGACGATAAATCGTGAACAAAAAAACAAGTTTCCACAAAATATTAAGCAGCACGACTTTTTAACATTGGTAAAAGAACGCTTCTTGAGCACCAAATCAGCATATTAGAATGATTTCATGCAAAACTGAAGATATGGAATAATAGCTGGTGAAAATTACATTTTATAATATTTTATTGAATTGTATTTTGAATTGTAATAACATTTCACAATATTACTACTTTACTGTGTTTTTCATCTAATAACACACTTGGTGACAATAAGAGACTTCTTTCAAAAACCATTAAAGCCATAAACTTTTGAATGGTAGTATATTTATTAGATGTAAATCTTATATAAGGAGCCATACCTCTCAAATGCAATGTTCTTTGTGTCCAGATACGTGTTGACAATGGGTGTTGTCAGCCTCTTGGCTACTTCCTGTTCGGCGGGCTGCATGGAGTCCAGTGTGACGTCCTCCATCTCGCGGGAGAGATCGAAGCGCTCTGTGTCCACCACCTCGTCCTCGTGATTAACTTCCATCAGCTCAGTGCAGTTGTCTGTGAGAAGTCCACATGATACTGATCAACCACAAATAAACATCAGGCATTCCACTTATCCTCAAATGAAGTGCATTAGTGAACATACAAATGTGAATTTCCTGTAAGCTTCAGAAGAATTCACAGCACGTTTGCTAGAACCCCACTAACCAAATTAATTCGTAAACCACGGATGGTCAGAACGGTCGACTAGTCTTTTTTAAAAACACATGCAAAGAGGCAGAGAAAAGAACCTTCTCCTCTAAAGATATAACTTCTTCTTCCTCTGATCCAGGTCATGTTTTCAAAGCCCAGCAGGTTGGTATCCACCCTCAGACAGGCCCCACTCTTCCAGATTCTGCACACGTCGCTGGGACACACACGCGATACGAGAGGAACTGGATCCAGAGCAAAAGCAGCAGATGAGGATCATTCTATGGCCTAATAAAGCCATAAGAATTTATGTACAGAAAAGGTGACACAAAAAAAGGGGAAAAAAAAAAAAAAAAAAGAGCACTTACTCCAGCTAGTGAACTCCCACTTCATCTCCATGTAGAAATCTGGAGACTAGGACAAAAAGAGGTTCATTACACTTTAGGCGTTTTCACATGACTCACATCAGGGCTTCAACGCACCTCTCAACACAAGTGTCAGGCGCCACTTTGGCTTCCCAATAAAACGTGTTGCAAATAGCATCAAAGGGCAAATTGTTAGGTAGTAAGAAATCATATGCTGTAAACGGTGAATAGTGAAAGTAAAACAAAAAGGTAACATATTTGACCTTAGAACAGAAAACGCTCGTGACGAATGAAAGAAGTCATGCTGATTGCTTGAGGAATAAAACATCTATGAATATCAAAATGCCTTTGATGTTAACACAAAATATGTTTTTTTAATGGCCGTGTAGCTAAATCACAGCAAAACATAAAAAAATCAAATCACACACAAAATTTGGTGATAGAATTGTTTTTAAGAAATAAATACTTTCATTCAGCATAGATGCATTAAACTGATCAAAAGTATCAGTAAAGATGTTTATAATAGGGTTGTGATGGTGAGGAAATTTTCCCACCAGTTAATCGACGTGTGACAACACGGAAAATACCGGTATCACCGCGGGGGCGTTCCCTCTTTTCCTCGCTTTCCTTCGCTTTTAAATAGCTTGTAAAAGCGGCGTGCGCATTTTACTTTCACTTTCAAATAGCGGCAATTCGGCGTAAAGCAATTGTTTGTTTTTAGTTCATTTGAATTTTCCCTCTTTTCCTCGCTTTCCTTCGCTTTTAAATAGCTTAAAAGCACCGTGCGCATTTTACTTTCACTTTCGAATTAGTGGCAGTTCGGCGTCAATTGCTTGAAAACAACAACAAAATACAACGTCAAACTCACTTTAGCCTATAAATAAAACATAGAACTTTTATTAACAAAACAAAATTCAAATAAGATCATCCTAGGGTGAAAGACTCAATCCTAAACTTAAAAGGTAGCAATATATTTACATGAATAAAGACACAATTTACTGTGAAAAAAATGATGTAATTGTTAAATAAATGTTACAAATGTGTGTGAAATATCTAGTTTCTATTACTTTTTTTCTACTTGCTGCTAGATGTATCATTTATCTATTTATTTGAATTAACATTTATTTCTTTAGCTTAGTTTTTACTATCTTATTTTTACACGTTTTTCCCCCAACAAAGCTGTGATCTACAGCCTGGTGCAGTAAAATGAAGCTTTATTGATGTTAGGATGAGCTCACCAGCTCTCCAGTGCAATGACATACAGCAGTGCTGTGGTTAACAAGTGGATGGCAAGCTGATGAAGCATTTTGCAATAAGATCAAATAATATACCAATTCCAATTTCTTTAGATTATTAAATACATGTCAAGAAATCCACTGGAGGCAGACATCTCACAGCAGTCAAATGATTCTAACACCAGATGCACCACCACCAGTCTACATACATAAGCATTTACGGATTTCCCTCCACCCCCCACCCACCCACACACGCACGCACGCACGC